GAGTCAGATCCTACTTGATGGCAGTGAGTTTGGTTTTGGTTTTTGACCCCAACCAGGATGTGAGCTTCTAGAGGGCAGAGCCTTTCTTGTGCCTAGAAAAGTATACCTGCCACATAGTAGGAACACAGTTAAATTTTCATCCAACGCTAACATCATTGTGAATATTTTCCCACAGTTTAAAATATTCCAGAACAGGGATTATGAACTCTTGATCCACAGGCCAGATCTAGCCTAAAGATACGTTGTATTTGTTGTTGTTTCAAGCATAATTTACATTCAGGTGCCCAGATCTTAGTTGTACATCTTAATGAATTGTATTAGGTGATTACCCATGGCACAGAACATTTCTAACACTCCAGAAGGCTCTCTTGTACCCCCCTCTCAGTCACTCTTCCCTCCCAGGATGACTTAGATAGTTTATTTAACCTTTTTTTTTTTTTTTAAATTAGCTTCTAACATTTAAAAATTGGGAGACTTCACATAAAACCCAGAATTCTCGCATCTCTTAAAAAATTAAAAGGTCTAGAAACACAGACCTGCCTTCTTTGTCTTTTGGCTACAATTAATTTATTACAGCCGAGAAGCAGCTGTCCCATATGTTGTCATGTGCTCCCTGGTTTGCCTGCAGTCTTCACCCCTCCTTCTATCTCTGACCTTGAAATCAATTGCCAGTTGCCATTTATAATTTCATATGAATTATTTTTAAGTTGAAGAAATCTGTATTTCTTCTATTATCTCTATAAAAAAGTGAAAACACAAATGATAGAAAGGTTATGGGTTTCTTAGTCCACTTCATGCAGTTGTATTTTTGGCCTAAGTCTTAGGTGCTTGCTAGCCACCCTAGCTCTACACAGTTGTTTGTAAAGTTCGCACAGTGTTCTGTTGCATAAATGTACCATTTACTTAACCAGTCCCTTAGTGTGAAACTAAAAGGTAAGTCAACTTTTTTTCCCACTATTGTAAGGAACAACTTGTAGATGAATCTTTGTACACATCATTATTTTATTAGGATAAAATTTTAGAAGTTGAATTTATGGATTTCATTTTTAAGACCATTGATAACGTATTGCCAAATTGCTGATAGTTCGATTCCCTACATCTATGTCATTGGTAGGAACTGTCATTTAAAGGAAAATTTTTGTAACTATGGTTAGTGAAAACAAGCAACAAATGGAAATGGTAGCCAAGATGGGGCATTTCATCATCTTATCTATGTAAATAAGAATTATACTTTATTTTAAAGGATACACTGTAGGAATATTTATTATTCAGTATAATGCTTTACCTTCGATTTATATTGAGTAAAATAATGTACCTTGTATATGAAATAACACAAATTCCTCAGTAATTTGGGAATCCTTTAACCTTGATAATATCTGTGTGTGTGTGTGTGTGTGTATGTGATTGAGCTATCCCATATTTCTATATCTATGTTAAAACCGATTGAGTTGATCCCAACTCATAGTGACTCTGTAGGATAAAGTAGAACTGCCCCAGTTTCCAAGGCCATAAATCTTTGTAGAAGCCAATTGCCTCATCTTGCTCCCATGGAACAGCTGGTGGGTTCAAACCATCAACCTTTTGGTTAGCAGCTGAATTCATTAACCACTGAGCTACTGAGCATAAGAGTAAATATTTCACAGTCTTTCTGTTTTGAAGCACATTAGCTAACACACACACTAGTTCTATATGTGTTTTCATATTTTTAATTATGTTGGATGTTACTATTCTATAATTTTTTTTTAAGGAGATGCCTACACAGAAGAGTGACAGCAGTTGAACTAAATGCTTCTCTGCTGAACTGGTTCCTCAGGTATCTTGGCTCTGGTGATTGCTATGGGAGATTGGATGACTGTTACAGATTCAGGTCTGTGTTCAGGTAACTGAATCTAAAATACTTGTAAAGAAGTAATGTAAAAA